GGAAGATCAGAGAATCAGAACAAGCCACAGCCACCTCACCTTGCCAATTCCTCAGCTGATTCTGTTTCCTCAGACTGGAAGCCTCTGAGTCCTCATCTGAATGAATCTCAGCTGAACTGCTGCTAAAAAGCCTGAAAGCTTAACCAGGCTAGTTCCTAGTTTTCATGCCTTATATACCTTTCTGCTTTCTGCTCTCACTTCCTGGATTAAAGGCTCACTTCTTGGGATTAAAGGCGTGAGTCACCATGCCTAGCTGTTTCTAGTGTGGCCTTGAACTCACAGAGATCCAGATGGATTTCTGCCTCTAGAATGCTAGCATTAAAGGTGTGTGTGTGCCACTATTTTCTGGCCTCTATATCTAGTGGCTGTTCTGTCCTCTGACCCCAGATAAGTTTATTAGGGTGCACAATATTTTGGGGAACACAATACCACCATACCAGACTCTTGAAATCTCCTCAATGTACAACATTCTTAACCTACATCTGCTGTCCTTTACTGCATAGAGAATTGACGGATCCACAGTGCCCCCTGCTGGTTCTGAGAACCGATTTGTATAAGTTCTCACACTCGGGGCCCTCACTATGACCCTTGTTTCCTCTTCTTTATAATGCACATGGTGATGCTGAGTAGACATTTCAAGGATGGATGATAAGCTGTGTCTAACAGGTTATTTCTATGAACCATAGTCTTTCCTCTAGGGGCTGTTAGATGTGGCTTTAGCAGTGATGACTGGTGCTGGAATGAGTTATCAGAGACTGCATGATTGGTGAACATCATCCACAACTACTCCACAACGCAATTTCCAAAATCCTCTAGCTGCATTTGGGGCAGAAAACTAACATCATCATGAAGAGGAACAAATAGGGTACTTAATAAATTCCCACCTACAGAAAATATTTACACATTTGAGAGTGACCAGAATTTAGAGAAATTTGAACTGTGTATCAATCTGTTTGCTAATTCCACATTTGCATCATGGATAAGCTGTAGATTTGTTTGTAAAGACTTAAAAGGAATTGCTGTTCCCTTTGCTGTAGCACAAATCTTAAAAGGTCTTATTAATAAAAACAAACTCAGAGCCAGGTATGGGGTGAACAATGTAAGATCAGAGAGACAGAACCAGCCACAGCCACCTCACCTCGCCAATTCCTCAGCTGATCCTGTTTCCTCAGACTGGAAACCTCTGTGTCCTCCTCCAAATGGATCTCAGCTGAACTGATGCTAAAAGCCTAAAAGCTTAACCAGGCTCTAGTTGCTGGTCCTCATGCCTTATATACTTTTCTGCTTTCTGCCATCACTTCCTGGGATTAAAGGCATGTGTCACTATCCCTGGCTGTCACCAGTGTGGCTTTGAACTCACAGAGATCCAGACAGATCTCTGCCTTTGGATAGCTAGGATTAAAGGTGTGTATGCCACCATTTTCTGTGTCTATCTGGTGGCTGTTCTGTTCTCTAACCCCAGTTTATTAGGTTTATTAGGGTGCACAATATTTTTGGGAACACAATATCACCACACTTTGCCATTCATCTTTCTAGGTGGAAACTTCATTCTGTATCCTCAGGCATTTCTCTTCTTTGTTTGGATCTAACTTCCCCAAGCTCAGCATCTTATTCATGAAATGTCATGGCTAATGATTTTCAAAGACTTAGATGCATTTGCTATAACCATAGCTAATGGCATCTGTGGAGCTGAATAACCCACCACCAGCTCCCAGGAGTAGGTGAAGCCAAAGCCAATGTATACGACCCTACACTTGAATACTTGTGACCTGTAGGCACACATGTTAACCCCTAAATAAATGCTGCATATCGGAGTATAGGTGCATTTGTAAGGAAAGAAGCAACATGATCATGAGTCAAGTGCATTTCTCCCCCATACAAATGTGTCCTGGATTGAGAACTTTTCATTGTCTCATGGTACTTGAATATGCAATTCTGTATGTAAGTGCATTTGCTATCTTCTATATTCATGGCTTGCTATAAAGGGGGATTTTCGACATCAAGCTCACATTCACAATATATGCTTTACATTGTTGATGCTTCTGTATGCATGATATTCCTTCCTAGCGTTGCTGAAGAAGGCTCATGCTATTGATTCTTCTGAAAGAAAGCCTAGAATTTATAATACAAACAACCTGGGCCTATCAATACTTCCCTAGTTGAAGAACTTTGAGGAACTGGAACCTGATTCTGGGAAAAAAAATAGCTGCTTAGAGGCCTTTACTGCAGAGATAAGGCTCAGTGAGTATCAGCTACAAACATTTATATCAGATTGACCACAAGTCTTGTTTACCATTGGTATACATGAAATTCATTTACCTAAATGCTAATTAGCAATTGCATTGCATACTGAATGTTTTGCACAAGCAATGACATCAATGTTAGCATAGGTTTTCCCTTTTAAAATCAGGCAGGTTTTCATATTAATTTGTGCTCATCCCAACAGAATGAATTTTATACAGCCATAAGGGTATAGAGCATCACTCTTCTCTAGTCAATATTGTCCCTGATTCTGTCTTACTATCATTACCACCCCTGTGTTACAAACAGCTACATATCCCCAGTTGACTTCCATGGGGTCGCCACCATGAGACTCATTCAGAATCTTGAGGAAAATGGTGACAAGTTGAGCTGCTCTATGAGACAGTTATATTAAAACATTCAGTCTGGTGAAACCAGCTTAGGCTAGTTGGTTAGTGTAGCAGGAATCTTAAAAGTTCTTACAAATAAAATCAAACCTGAGCCAGGTATTGGGGTGAACTGGAAGATCAGAGAACCAGAACAAGCCACAGCTACCTCACCTCAATCCTCACCAGATCCTCAGCTGATCCTGTTTCCTCAGACTGGAGGCCTTTGAGTCCTCATCCAGAATGGGTCTCAGTTGAACTGCTGCTCAAAAGCCTGAATGCTTAACCAGGCCAAATGCTTCTAGTTCCTGGTCCTCATGCCTTATATACCTTTCTGCTTTCTTCCATCACTCCCTGGGATTAAAGGCTCCCTTTCTGGGATTAAAGGCGTGAGTCACCATGCTTGGCTGTATCCTTGAACACATGGATTTCTGCCTAGCTCTGCCTCCCAAGTGCTAGGATTAAAGGCATGTGCTACCACTGCCTATCCTCTATGTTTAATATTGTGGCTGTTCTGTCTCTGACCCCAGATAAGATTACTAGGGTGCACAATAGTTCAGGGAATACAATACTACCACGGGTTAGTCTCACCAAAGGAAAGAAAATCTCAGAAAATAATGTCTTCCTACCTTAAACTCCTTGCATCTTCTCTTCAAATGTCCCTTCAGGATGTCAATATATTGTTTGATCCTTACCCACAAAAGGCAGTAAAGTGTTTCTAGGCAGGACAGTTACTGACTGTATTTCCAGTCATTAGAGAAGAATCCTGCCCATGAACCAATCATCCGTTCTCCATATAGGAAGATATAAAAAATAATGTTACAGAAAACAGGGTTGAGAGTCATTTCCCTATAGGAATAGTAGATATTTTCACAAACATGTATGAAATAATACCCTTAGCCTGACAAGCGCTTATGAAAACAATTCTCAGCACCCCTCAGTTGACCCTGTGTCTTCAGTAATGGATGGACAAATGCCTGTCCACTGCTGCTCATAACCAAAGGTAGAGACCACTATAAACATAACTTATCATCAAATTATCAAAAAAGGAAACTTCCAAACAGTGGCCCAACTGTTTGCCAGCCCTCAAGCTGCTAACCGCCAAAGCAGCCACACAGCTATAACGGCTTGGAATAAAGCTCTTGGTATTAATACTCCGACAGGCATATTCCCCGCTGTACACAGAAATGTACAGAGCCACTTATTACTTTGTCTATCATCTGCAACCAACTAGAGAGCAGCAGCCAGCTAGTAAAGAAGCTACTTCTACCTTGTCTCTTTCCTGTGCCTATTAAAATGTAAATTTAAACTGTAAAAGCTTCATTCTCTAGTTGGTAATACTTCTCATACTATTGCTGATTTAATAAAAGCATTACAAAATGATTGCCCAGAGGAGCTCAGATTCTGGCTATGTTATTATGGCCTCATATGAATTTCACATATGAAAGGAACAGGCCATTTACAGAAGTAATTTAAATGAAAACTTGCTAATCATCCTCAGAATAGTGAACCTCCCCCTAAAACACCTGCACATTGTAAGATGCATTTTCACTGGTCCAGTCTGTGTTGATAGTGGTGACAAAGAGAATCCAGTTTCAGGAAACAGGGGAATGAGCACCCAGGGCTGCTGATGACAGGATCAGGTCTCTACATTCCCATCTTGGAATCCCACTGCTCTTTTCCCAATGCAATCTGAGCAGGAGCCCAGCTTGTTGCCAAAGCAGCAGACTCCACACACTGGGGACTCCACATGACACTCAGCTCCATCCCTAACCTAAAACAATAAGAGATTTGATTATTACTTCCAAAAGCAATTCATGATCAGATGTACCAATAAATAAAGATATAAAATTGGATTTTATAGAAAAGGTAAAAGCACTTACCCCCAAATCTGTGGAGACCACTTCCAACAATCTGCCTTTCCTTGTTTTAGGGAAACAAAATTGGACTATGAAAGGAGCTTTGTTTGTGCACATGCTGTTGATTTGTCTTTTACTGGCCTGACTCATATTATGGATTATTTCCAGCTACTCCAGCAACAGTTCCAGTCCCTTAGATTTAAGAGATATTTATAGCATCATGTATTGCCAAAGTTTTTCCTATTTTAGTTTATTAAAAAGGAATCATGTCAACAGAGGTGGTTACTGGTAAACAGCTGGTCAAGTTACAGTGTACTTTAGAGGCATCATGAATCAACATCATTTTATTCCCTCTATTTTTCCTTTTGAAAAGTTGACAAAGACCCTGTAAGACAGTGAAATCACAGACAAAGGGACACTCAGGATGATTATTTTTGAATAAGTCTCCAGTCTAATCTTCTCTGTCATCTCAGCCCCAGGGCAGATTCCTGCTCCTCCAGGGTTTCCGACACACTCAGGATGTGGGTTGTAACACTGTGTTTCTTGCACAGTAATAGACCGCAGAGTCCTCAGATGTCAGGCTGCTGAGATCCATGTAGGCTGTGCTGGAGGACTTGTCGATAGTCAGTTTGGCCTTGCCCTGGAACTTCTGATTGTACTCAGTATTACCACTTGAAGTACCAATCCATCCAATCCACTCCAGGCTCTGTCCAGACCTCTGCTTCACCCAGTTCATACCATAGTCAGTGAAGGTGTAGCCAGAAGCCTTGCAGGACAACTTCACTGAGGACCCAGGTTTCACAAGCTCAGCCCCAGACTGCTGCAGCTGGACCTGGGAGTGGACACCTGTGGGGAGAAAGGCAGAGTGGATGTCATTGTCACCTCAGTCCCTGTTCCTTCTTCAGGTTTGGAACTGGAAAGCCCCTTACCTGTAGTTACTGACAGGAGGAAGAGGATGATCCAGCTACATCCCATGGTGAGGACCTGTGTTTCCTGTAACTATAGAGAGGACACTAATCATATGTTGTTCTGGGGTGTGGACATTCCTGTATTTACCACCATAGACTCAAAGAATTTGCATATTCATGAGTAGGGTACTTCTTATATAAGTACCTAGTCCTGCTAGAGAAGGTAGAGGACTCCTGGGTCAGGCAGCAGGATGCTGAGGACCACGTCTGAATCCTCTCTCAGGAAATGCATACCACGATCTTTCCATGAGCCCTGTGCAGATGCTGAGGTTGTATCATCAGGACCTGAGCTCTCAGTAGATTTCAGGCCTGAGACATTTGCTTCACTTTCTAACATGGTTGTCAGATTTATTTAGAGAAGGTGGTTGTGATGATGATGACAATTATAATGATGATGACAATGAAGGGAAATTTAAAATCTGCAAAGTTTGAAGTTTGCAGACTCCTTTCAGATATATGCAATTATTATTTACCTTACCAAAAGATTATATGCTGAGAAAATCACTCAAATGACCAAAAGTAAACATGCTTCAGAAACAGATGAACAGCAATGATGATTGCAACAACACAATAACTGAATTATGGAAACAAACTATGCATCTGTCAACAGAGGATTTCACCATGAAGACATGTTTATCTTAGCAGCACAACAGAAGTTTTTCAACTGCAAGGAATATGGAACTTACTTCAGTTATAGAATATAGGATGCAACTAGAGATAAATGTATTAATTAAGAGAAACCCAGAAACACAGACATTAAATGATACTCATTATTAGTTTTTAGATATTCCATACTTGCATACAACTAAGAATGCTAATATATAATGATGTATTTGTGAAATTGTTTAGTAAAATAAGGTAAAGGAAGAGTACGTGAAAATAAGGGTAGGGATTATGGGGAAATATACACAGTGTACAAAATATACATGTCTGAAATTTCTAAACATATGTAAAATTGTTATTTTTACCTTTCACAATTTATATTTTTTGAAATTATAATCCATGTACAAAATACATTATGATCATATGTACACCACTATGCCCCACTGGTTCCCCTTGGGACCTTCCAATAAATCTCTCTCCCAACTTCATGATCTCTTTTGTTTCACAAACTAATAACACAGTGAGACCAAACAGTGCTACCTATATACACATAGGTGGAGTCACGAGAACATAGGAAACCTCCAGAAACCTTCCAGAGACAATTGGTTATATTTTCCTCATCCATCATCAAATTCCAATAGATCCACAGTTTGGTGTGTGTTCTCAGGAGTTTCTCTCCATAAATTTAATTGTTTTAAAAATTGTTATACTATCTTTAGTGGTGAGAACAGGGTACATATGTACCAAGGTGTATGTGTGATCCTCAGAGGACAACTTACAGAATTCAATTCTTGTATCCTATTATGTGGATCTAAGCAATCAAACTGATATGGCTAATCTTGGCACTAGACACCTTTACCTGCTCAGCTATTTCCCAGGCTCTCACAAAGTAACATGAACTCAATGGTATTTTATAGATATTTTCTCTCATATCACATTATTGTACATTTTTTGTTTCAATTGTCTTTTACCTGTATATCATAGTCAAAGTTGTACTTTTTAGGATTTTGTGTATGCTTGTGTGAGAGAGTATTTATTGTTTTATTTTTGTTTAGTTTTATTCCCTTTTTAAACTCTTTTTTGTATTTGATTTTTTCTTTCCTACAAAGAAAAAGACAGGGTGTGGAGTTGGGTAGGAGAGGACATAGGAAGATCTAGGAGGAGTAGGGGGAGGGGAATCAGTGATCAGAAAACACTGTATGAAATTTTTCCACGAAAAAAAAATTGTAAAAAGTAAATGAAAACTGAATAATATAAACAAGAAAATATAAACCCGTGAAGTGTTTAACCAAGAATCTTTACTGTGTTTGAGCATGGAAACATCACATGTCAATCATAGCAGATGCAGGACAGCTAGTAGACCCAAGAAAGGAAACCACAGTTTATGGAGTCCCCTCTGCACACATTCCATCTCTCTACTGGGGATTCTTAGCTCCATTGTGCCCCCTGCTGGTCATGAGCTCCCCTGCAGGTTGGTGTGCCATGGTTACACTGAAGCTGCACTGTCTCCCTGGAGCTATAACACAACCCTTCAACATCAGTGCTCACAAAGCTCAGCTGGAGGGAGAAACGGCTCTTGTTTATCTGGAGGTGCTGACTGGATGTTTCAGAGATTCATTTTAAATTGTTTCTATTCTATCATCAATGCCCTTCTCAATGGCAGCCTCCTCCCTGGTGACAGTTGGATCCAGCTCCAGAAGTTCCCACTTGTAGGAAGGTGACAACAGGAGAGAACAAAGTCTTGACTACCTTCATCAGACTGTACCTGGGACAGAGCACATGATGTCATTTAAGACACTGAGTCTTAAAGTGGGATGCAGTGCCCCATATATTTATGTAGGAATTCCTGAGACATGAAGATGAAGGAGTGCACAGAAAGAGGATGAACCACTGTAGAACAGAAAACTTAACAAGTCCAGAAAAATATATTCACATTTTAGAAAATAGAAGTCAAGAAAATATATGTTGAGACTCAATCTGTTTCCCACACTGCATTTGCATGCAATTAAAGGAATGAGGGGAGAGGGGAGGTCTCTTGACAAAGATTCTCCTGTGTGGTGGATATGTGTGTTGCAACCGCTTTATCTCTCCGTGTCTACATTTCCAGTTATCCTCTTATTCTTGGACAGGTCTTGTGCATGTAAAGCTTTGCAGAAGCTGAACATTTTCATGGAAGAAGGATGGATTTTGAATTTGCTTTCAGGAATGAGAAAAGTCAATAGCATTATGTAGGATATGTGTGCATGTGTGTTTAAATGTCTGAAGTGTCGCTAGAATATACAAATATATGCACCACATAAATTCAGGTTATTCATGTATATTTTGCTCTAATATGAGGTCATGAATCAGATGCACCAACTGTTGTAGGATAGAAGGGGCTGGGATCAGTCTGATACATGTCTTCTCTTCTATCACTGGTCAGAATTGATAAGATGTCCTGTGGAATGCCAGAACACTGAGAAACACCCACAGAATAATATACTTTCTTCCTTGTTGAGGAACAGTTATCCCTGTTTCAGGGTGCTGGAGGTGCTTCCCTTGGCTTTCAGCACCTCTTTCTCCAGGGTAATTATATAATGGTGTTCTCCATACTCCAGCATGGTGGGCTGCTAGTGGCTATCAAGGGTGGCAATGTGCAGGAGTTTTGCCTGATCAATCTGTGTGGATTTAAAAAGACATTTTCCTCTCAACACTGAATTTATTCACCAAAGTCTAGACTCAGTGGCATAATAAAAAGTTGACATGAGCTTTTTCTCCAAAGTTAAACTATTGTGAGGATCACAATATGGACTGAGCTGGTACAATGTGTGTGAAATTGGGCAAGAGTTTCTGTAAAATACATGCACACATTGATTTCTAATATTCGCACTCATTCTTTACTCTGGATTATGTTACCCTTCTACACTGCCTGGGCCTATTTTTATTGATTGTAAATGCCCAACAATTATTTCTGTCACTGTGCTATGTTTGATCCTCTGCACAGCAATGAAAGGCCTGAGCAAAACTTGCACTATTCCTGAGTCCCTTTGAAAATAAGATTGTGTCTGGAACATAGTTCTTATCTTCTCACTCTGATTCACTCACAGATTAATATATCATGGTTTCCTCAGTGGTCACCTATCTCAGGTGCAGGGAAAAAATAAGTTTAGATATATCTCTGGAGATCACTAGAATGTCCTCCTGCAGAAGTTACGAACGAGCTCTGAAGCTCATTCATCTTGAAAAATTACATGAATCAGCATCTGAAATCACTAAATACGTTTTAAGTAATGCACTCAGGATGACTGTGACACACCTGTGTCCAAAGAGTGAAGGAGATATCTTGAGTCAGTGTTCTGTGACAGGCTTATAGGTCAGGGTATAAGGACTAGGGAATAAAATGAATGTGAAATCAGGATAAATGGTTGTCTTTGAACCCACCCCTCAAATATCATGAAGACAAACTGGGCTGTTGAGGGAATTTTGTCAATAGTAATTCAGCAGCAAAGTTGGTCATCTCCTAGAAATTAGACACTGATGTAATATATGATCAAACATTTCAACCCAGGAAACTGACCCAATTATGTTGAAAACCTGTGCTCACATTACCATCAGCACGGGAATATGTGGAACAAGTTCATTAATGTAAAACTTCTGTTCTCTGACTCTTTAATGCAAGGTAACTAGGAAAACTCCTTATGCAAAGAGAGTAATTGTTAGTCCTGGTGTTCCTCTCCTCAGTCCTTAACCACAAGTTTTGAGCAAGGCTTCCGGTTGCTCTTCCCTGTCCTCTCAGGCCCAAGGCAGCTTCTTGCTCCTCCAGACACATTTGCTCCTTTCTGACACACCTCAGATGTGAGCTGACACTGAGCCTCGTACAGCAATAGACGGCAGAGTCCTCAGATGACAGTTGCTGTGCTCCAAGGAGTCTGTGTCGGAGACGATGTCTACATCCAGGGTGGCTCTGTCCTGAAACTTATGTCCATAGTATGTTCTGCCAGTGCTTGGGGGTGTGTTTCCAATCCATTCAAGCTCAAGTCCATGCTCGTGCCTCAGCCAATTCACAGAGAAACTGAGGAAGTTTTCTGAGTCAAACTCCTTGCAGGACTCCTGTGCTGAAGTTCTAGGAGTTCTCAGTTCAACCCCAGACTGTCACAGTTAAACCTGAGAGTGGACAGCTGTAGAGAGAACTCCATTGTCGCTTTAGTCTTTCTCTCTCTCTCTCTCTCTCTCTCTCTCTCTCTCTCTCTCTCTCTCTCTCTCTCTCTCTCTCTCTCTCTCTCTCTC